CACTCAGACTCGTGTAACGGGAAAAAACGTCTCTTTTTTTTACGTACCTTACGTCCCTTTTTTCCCTACAAAAGTACGCCACCATTCCCTTTCAATATCTGAGAGTTAAATCGAAAGAAGTTTCAATAAAGAAAAATAATTTTGAAGCTTTGCTGGAAAAAATTAAAGATGAAAGTGTGACCGGCAACTGTACTGTTAAGCATTATCGAAACAGCAATCCACTGCTTTGTATTTTTAATAAAATTACTTCAATCCCCAATAACAGTATTTTCGATTGCAGAAGTTATGAAATTGTAAGAAAATTTTCAAAGCTTTTCCTTATATTACCTCCACTGAATTTTGAGCGTAAATAGCGTTCACTAACAACATTAGTAAATTTTTCACTGGTTATATTACAAATAATATACATTTGAAAATTCGATCCTCGATTTTTCTGTGGATCAAGTTACGGTAAGCTGCAATGATTGAAATTACTAGATTAGAATAAAAAGACTAGCACTGCCAAGCCAGTGGAGTAAAATAAAAACGATCGTAGTTAGCATGAAGAACAAGCATTAAATTCCACTGATTTAGCAGTGACCTTGTTTCAACTGTTTAATCAATAGATACACTGATTAAAAACAAGTAAAAATCAAAGAAGCAGAAGCGATAAATATCAGATAGCAATACATCAATCGTAACCAATGAAACCATCGAAGGAATTATAGACCACTTCGCCCGACAACAATAGGACATACCCAGAACGGGGTGTGCACACAGTTATCCGTTCGTTCGTTCGTGCCATTGAGCCGCGACAAACAAGCTCGACAAACATCTATAATACCTACCCAATCCTGTTTGCACTGAAGTATTATACAGCACATTCGGATCGAGTTACCGTGAAATAACCTACCGCTGAGGCCCTTCCATTTATCCCCCTTCGATGCGTATAGGCAGATAAAAAGAATCCACGAAAAATAAAAGACCGAGGCGTTTTGAATCATCCCAAGTAATAGGACATCGAGACTCTGCTGTATCGTGCATCCAATATGGATGCGTGTTTATTATGTGGGCCAAAACTTACGAGCCTACCTCTCTTTCCAGCTGATAAGGCTGCTCGGGTGTGTACATTACGCGGGGGAAGAAGAGCAATTTATTGTTGGGAACTTGGCTATGTTAAACGGAAAAGTTGTTCTTCCTTGGTTGAGTACATGTATTTGGTGCGCGCGAAAAGTTGCGCGCGTCAATTGGCTTTTTTCCTCTTTCCTCCACGACGCTTTCGGTGTAATTGAACGGCCGGTGCTTTTAAAGTTTGTTGGGGGGCCGTGATTTTAGCTCGTGCCAAAAGTACAATATATAGCTCTTGACTCGATGTTGGATCTTTTTTTTTTTTCCGACGCTGCAGCGGAGATTAATTTTTAGAGGCTCACGGAAATAATTAGCCGATTTTACGAAAATGGCTTTTGGGCTACTCTCGAAACTTGATGTTGGATGATGAAAATTCATAATCGCAGGCTCTTAGAGTACAGTTTGTGGTAGTCCTCGAAACTTTATGCTTGTGCTCTTGATTCATATTATATCTATTACGGATTCTATTTTGGAATGATACTTTATTATACACTGGTCCTAAACAAGATGTAAAACATGCATAACAATTACTTTGTAAAGAAACAGCCAACTCAGATTTATGTTGAAAAAGCAACTATGCAAGAGAATTACACTTTAAAAAATTTAAGGAAAAATTAATTTCTCCAAGTTAGCTATCTCTTCAAACTAAATCTTAATTTACTGTATAATTACAAGTTGACGATTTCTCGTACCCAGAGCCTAAAATATAACTAAATAATATCATCATCTCAGAGTTCGTATCACTAAAATATATAAAATAATATAGTTTCAAATTCATACGTCAAAGTGCAATGTAAATTAATAATTGAATAATTTTATTCATGTGCTCATACATGTTATTTTCATTTAAATTATTTATAATATTCATTAGAAACCCGAATAGTTTACTAGCCTTTGCGTACTAGCTATAATGAAAATAATAATGATAATAATAATCTCTCGTTCCCCTATGTTAATTAATAATCTCAGAGCACATGTTGTGCCTTTCTCGTTAACCTCCTGAAATTGCTTTGATGCACTTTCAGGTCTTCTTATCCTGACTGAAATTTAGCTTATTATTGCATGCAATTTACGCTTTATATATTAAATGTTGGAAAAGTGACCTAATAAATATGTTAATCGACGACGACGTTGCCAACAAATATTACACCTTTTAGCATGTAATGGGTAAATACTGTACTAACAACATACCTTTTAAAAAACGTTCTGTGAATAGTAAACCATATACGAAGCTTGTCTGATTATACTCCGCTTTTTCTACTTTTCAGTCCTACCGTTCAGTTAAATTAAAACATCTAACCGACCTACACAAACATCAATACATATTCTTTAATAAATCTCACTCATAGTAAATGCTGTAATCACAACATTCCTTTAAAACAACATTTTGTGGATACCAGATGATATATGAAGTATGGCTGATTATACTTGGCTATTTCTACTTCTCAGTCCTACCTACGGTTTATTTAAAATACCCAACATCCTACACATACTTGAATACATATATATATATTTTTTTTTATATTATAGTGCTCTACGTCCGGCTCCTTTAATAAGGGCACTACTATGGGCACTTAGCACTTTGGAGAAGGAAGGGATGAGGGATGGGAGGCCTCCCACTACTGGAAGGGGCGTAGGGGGAAATTAGGCAACTATGCTGCGAGGAGGTCGCCTAAACCCTCCTCGAGGAGCTTTGCGTGGTGAAAAAGCACATGTGAAAAATCACAGAGGTACTTGCCCGAAAAGTCATACTGGCCGGGAATCGAACTACGGTCTCCCGCGTGCCAATCCACGACCTAGCCGAATGAGCCACCGCGCGCTCAATACATATATTTAAATAAATCTCACTCGTAGTCAGTTCACAACATTCCTTTTAAATAATGTTTCGTAAACACTAGATGACACCCAAAGTTTGCCCGATTATAATCGTCTTTTTCTACTTCTGAGTACTACCGTCAGTTTAATTAAAATAACTGACAACTTACACATGCATCAATACATATTTTTCAATAAATCTCACTCATAGTCAATTCACAACATACCTTTTAAAAAACGTTCTGTGAATAGTAAATGATCCACGAAGTTCGTCTAATTATATTCGGCTTTTTCTACTTCTCAGTCATACCTACGGTTTAATTAAAATAACTGACGACTTACACATACATCAATACATATTTTTTAACAAATGTCACTGATAGTCAAGGCTGTACTCACAACATTACAAAAATAACGTTTTGTAAATACTAGATGATAAGATGTTACACAACGTGTGTCTGATCGTAGACGGACTTTTCTACTTAGCAAACCTACCGTCGGTTTAATTAAAATTAATGAACGTACATACAGAGACCTACACGGGCTTTGTCATCACTACCATTGTTTTGGAAAATCATCAAGTTCATTATTTTCGATCTAAGCTAATAATTATGAAAAAAAAAAAAATTACATTGATTTTCATGAGTCCTCGCTACAACTATCGTTAAATAAAATGAAGCAATCCTCACCTCTGCCTCGTTCCTAAAAGTGAGCGTGTATAAATAGTTCACTTGGTGGAAACTTCATGTTAGTAGAAATTAAACTCTTGGATGATTTCGTATTCCAAAGCAATCAAATAAATTATATTTAGCTTTTAACAACCCTAAATACGAATCTATCCAACAGCAATATATTCTCATGAATACCTTAGAAAAAATTCGTGGAAAATCTCGTAAATCGAATTCCATTCCCCATTCAAAAGACATCGCACTTTTCATAAAATGATCGACCCATAAAAATGAATACCCCAACTTGTATTAAAATACCAAAAACTCGTTTCCACCATCACAGTGCTCAGCCACGCAACCCAAAGAAATAGTGGCAACAAAGACGAACGACCGAATGATGAGGCCTTCCAATAGATAGGGGAGCATCGAAGGGTTGCACCTAAAACGCTTCGCGCAGGGGATGGAAGTGCACGTACCTATATAACACAGAACGTAAGCGTGGGGATGCATAATACGCCGGAATGGAAGAAGAGCCAGTGGATAAGTACTGTAGGTACAGTGGGCGATGATGGGGAGGGGCTCGATCGCCCGAAGGCTTCGAAGCGACGAACACGGACACCCCTCCTCCGAGATAAAGAGAGCGGGTAGAACCATGTGGAAAATTGGCAGCGCCTGCGCTCTCTCTCTCTTTCTCTCGCAGTATAGTGTGTACGCTGTATATAGCCAAGCTGCTGCTGCTACTCCGGTCCAACCCTCCCACGCAGCTGGAGCCAACCTCGATCTCTCAGTTGAGCCGCTGCTGCACCGAGAAGCAGTCAGTCATTCTCTCTGTACCCCCTCGACTGCATGTTCACCTACTTGCAGTGACACCGCGCATTTGGCCGACCATAAATTGTTATCGTTGTCACTGGACCCGAGTTTCACACAGAAGAGTATATGCACATTGAGTCATTCTCGCGTGGTTTACGCGTCTTGCGCAACGGGGCGCTGGGCTGCCGACCTTGACCCGGACGTGCGAGGCTATCCATCTTAGCTCCCGGTGCATGTACACACGCTGTCCAAAGAAACGCGGAACAACAGCAGTGGCATCCCTAACGCGGCAAATTTCAAAGCCCATCGCGAGATTCAACTTGGACTCGTCATATCGGCCGGTGATTACGTAAAGTGCGTTGTGTAAGAGAAAGCGTGAGCCTGTAGTTTATCTTCGGGGTGAAGAGGAGTGAAGTGCGTACATAAAGTGCGGTGCTGTTGTACGTGGTGAAAGGGGAAAAAGATATTCGCGCGGAAGTGATAAAAAAAAAAAAAAAAAAAAAAAAAAGGACGAAAAGTGCATCAGTGCACACCACGTGGAGGAGCGTTGGATAGGATATAAATAAATAATTAAACACCGAGAGAGCCCTGGCAGCCGAAGCCAAGCTGTTCGCCACGGCGTCGTCTCAGTTGGCGCGTCCCACTTCCGTGTCCGCGGAGTCGCTTCTCTTCTGCGTCGCCTCCGAGGACTGCGCCGAGCTGAGAGATTTCAAAGTAAGAAAAAGAGTGACCTTTCGGATTGATGAGTATATTGTGTACCCCCCGACGCTTCCCTCGTTGTTACACGCGCGATTCACGCGGCTACGCCACTTTTCTCGGCTTTTGTGCCGTTTTGCTGCTGCGCGTTGGGTATTCAACCAAAGTGCGCTTCTTCTTCTGGGATCATTTGGACACTTTTTTTTCTTTTTATCCTTTTTTTTTCAACGCGCCTCATCGAGGTGTCGTGGTTAGATCAAAAGCTCTTTTCTTTCTTTCATGGGGTTCTAACTTTTCATTTTGCTTTTATTTTTTAGTCCTGGACTCGAGGGTTAAGGTTACATAATGTTTAGGAAATAAAGAAGAAAAGGAACGCATGGAAAATTCACTGTTGTGCGAATTTTTATTCCTACTCTACGTAGTCACAACTGCATCGCAGGAATGTTTGTACACATTTGAAAAATACACCATATTCGTTTATTTTCGCTTTATTAGAAAAAACAATGTTGAACAATAAAAATAAAGATACAAGTGATACAGGCAAACCGGGGAGCAATCATCTTATGGATTTTTTAATAATTTGAAAGAAAATTGTTTTTCCTAGAAATATTTTTTATTCATTACTATTCACAACACAATACTGAAAAAAAATTGTTGTTTCCTTAGACCCTTGTTTTTATCCAAGCTATTGTTTCTTTCAAATATTAATTTATTATTTCCGCTGGTAAAAATTTCTCCAGCATGATTAATGCATCTTATTTTTAGAAAAAAATTTTATTTCTAGATAATTATATTGAAAAAGTATCCGAGCCCAAGTCTGGCTATAGGAATTGAAATACACTAACAATAATGCAGAATCATGCTAGGAATGTTTTTATTTCCGTGTTGATTATTTAAGCAGAAAATCGCTGAAGTAATAGTGAAAAAGATAATTTTTTAAATACACTTTAATAAAATATATTTATGTATTCTTTAATTGTTTGCACTTTTTGAATCTAACTCCGAGCAATGGGCCTATGGAGCTTACGGAAAGTTTTCGTTTGATTGTACCTGGGGTTGAATTATTAAAATTTCAATTTAGCGAAACTGTTATTTTATTTTTTTATTCATCTCTTTTGACTTTGATTTAAATTTAATTAGAAAATTACGTTTGAAAAAGAGTTTTCCCGTTTTTTTGTAACCATGACGAAAATTAGATTCTATGTATAAGGTATTTTGTTGTACTTGATTCTTTGTCCTTTTCCAACGACAAAAAGGTCCTTTACTTGAACTTTCCATCCAATCAATGCAAAACTATTTCATACCCGATTTTCCCTTAATTTAATTTTAATCAACAACGCGAAACCAGCTATTAAATCAATATCGCCATTGATTACTGCATACGCTGGTCTTTCAGCTTAAATTGTTACTATTATTTTACAAAGGATCCAATTTTAAAATAGATCAGCACTGATACCGTAAACGCCATTCGTATACTATCTCGTTGAGTGATCCGTTGAAATTGAAAAATTCACAAAAAAGAGGATTCATTTCGATAAAAGTTTCCAGATCGCGAAATTTTCGCATCTACTAAAACAAAACAAAACAAAACAAGCGAGAAAGAAAAAAAAACGGAGAAGCACTCAACCACTACTTTTTAATTAGCGCAAAGTAACGAAACAATGATACACCCACCTATACGTGTTCTAATTACCAAAGTTGTTAAAAAAAAAAAAAAAAAAAGTACAAAAACACATAAGTACACGAACGCGTATCGACTTTTGCAAATGGACGCAGCTACGCGCGTGTTTTCAAAAACAATAAAAAAAAAAAAAAATCCTATTGCCGCTTGGAAAACTTGATACAGCTAGTTCTCCGTCCTCCACACAAGCTGTCATCACCGCGTACGGCTATACCCCCCATATTCGTCACTCTGTGCTGTTCGACCATGCGAGCTTCGATCAAAAAGACCCAAAAGTTGAAATTGTCGAAGCTAAAGAAAACTCTGAAAAAAAAATCCACACCCGCACCCTCATATCTCCCGAGCATATCTCTCATTTTCTCTCCCACTGGCGGCGTGTGCAATATTCGACAGTAGGCAGTATAAGGCAGCTATATATCAAGCGACTTTTAATGAAAAAGTCTCCTTTCTCCTTCCATTATACCTATCTCTGGCTTTCTCCCTGGAAGCGCAATAAGAGGGGTCGTCTCTACGGCTTGAGTTCCGCAGAAATTATTCTGAATGGCGAGGCATAACAGGCCGGGGATCTGTAGCTAGTGTCTCTATGTGTACTGTATCCGCGCAAGAAGTGCATGCAACGGCGTTGATGGTAATTCCGATTGCCTGGGACTAGTGTATAACCATAAGAAGAGGAAGAAGAGGAAGAAAAAGAGGAGGAGAGAACAGTCTTGGTTTGCACAGACTTACTCCAGCTGCTGCTACTACTTTCCCATTAAAGCGAAAAGAAACGGCTCTCTTACCCTCGGCTTCTTCTTCCTCTTCGCACACATGCCCCGAAAGAATCGAGAGCTCGCCGTTTACCGGTGGGCAATTTGAAAAGAGCCCCCTTTATTTAGCTTGCATGAGTGCCACGTGTGTGCATGTAAATGGAAGAAGAAGTGGTTATTAACCAAGAACGTGGGAGGGAGGGTTTGTTTTTTTCCTCCCCTTCCTTCCGGTCTCTGCCGAACTACGAGTGCTGGCTTTTCTTCTTACCCCATCCCCTTCTCAACTTGCGGAAAAACTCACGTGCGAGCGGTGTAAATGGGAAACAAATCGAGGCTCGTTTTTTTTTTTTCTTCGTTCTACTGCATCCCCTTCTTTTTTTGGCCCATTTTTTTTTTTTTTTTTTTTTTTTTTTTTTTCAAAGCAGACCGTGTTTGGATATAATCGGATCGATATTAATTATCTTGAATTTAATCTCAAGTTTAATTTATTGCTTTGTTTTTAACCAAAATTGTGAATAATTCGGCTGAACTTCCATAACGATTGAATTCAATGTTTCATACATATTTGAGAAAAAATTTTTTTTACTGATACGTTTCTTCCGAAAAGGATTTTTTTTTTAATGAAATGTAGTAGTGCCATCGTTTTTTTATTTTTATTTTTTACTATTATTTAGAATAGTAATTAAAAAGTTCCTGTGAGTGCTCTGCCAAATTACATTTGGAATGCAATTATTTTTAAAATTTTAATTGCTTCAAATTACCGGTTGCAATTCAAGCTTTCACTGAGTTATCACTTTTATGGGCATAGGTTTTTTTTGCAAACTAGTAGAAAAAAAAAATTCAACTTATTTTTGGTTCTCTTCAACGCAGGCAGAGTAATTAAGGTAACCCAGTTACGTGTTATTCAAATAGACAATTTCAATCACTTTATTTACACAAATATAATTTGCAATATGTGTATATTATGTATATTTAACTACATTCAATTGATTTTGTTTTCATTGAAATTTTCGTATTATGTTAAAAATTTAATTTCACCAAGTCTTTTTATACAGCCCATCTTTTGTTAATTACAGGTGTATTAATTATAATCATCAACTTAATCCGCTTGCTTACATGTATCACTAAACAAAAGCATAATTAATTATGCTTAATAACTAGTAACAGCGATCATACCAGAAAAAGCTTAATTTTAATTTCCCTTTAGTCGTTGAATGTTTTGCTTTTATAACAAATGTGCTCAACGAGACGGTTTTACTCCACTGCTGGTCTTTTATCGCTATACCGTGGAAACTCTGAGGGCGCTTTTCAAATGCGCTCCGAGCACTGTAGCATCGCCCGCTCTCTTGCTAAAGCCTATCCTTCCTCATTATAATGGGGGAAGTGTCCTTGTTCCATTTTTTTTTTTTTTTTGAAGATGTGTAATTGTTGTTGAAATTAATTGTTCTTCGTCGATGAAACCAGTTTTTTCTATGTTTCCTGTTGGTGCATCAAACTATTGTGTTTTGTTTTAGTTCTCCGTGTCATACGTATTGAAACATAAAACAATAATTTCTAATAAAAGTAAAAACGCATCATGTTCCTAGATAAAAATTGCAACGCAAAGTATTTGAAAAAGTCTCCACGCCTAATGTGCTGTTTTCTTCTTCGATTTCGTAGCTTCGAGGTGTTCATAGACAGATAAAATTACAAATACTCCTCGAATCGCTCAAATTCTCGACATCAATGTTGAAAATTACCCATGTAGTCGAGATCGTTTTAAAACAAAGGTCAAAACAGATTTTACAAATTTAAAAGCCATCAATATTAATTCCCCACCAACTTTTTCGATACTTTACGGGCCAGTACGTCAGAGCTGTTAATTCTGTTTCGCGTCTGGATCTGATACCTGATTTATCGCAAGCCAGCACACACACGGGAGCGCTCGGTAACTTTGAAACTGCGCTTTTCCCCCCCAAGTTGTCCCTTTTTTTCCCTTTCCCGTGAAATACAGTTTAAAACGCTCACGCAGCCATTTAAAATTAAAAAGCCAACTTTGCCGTTCGACAAAACTTTCGTCGTCGAGTCACGAACTTTTTTTTTTTTTTATCTTCGAAAATGTAGCGAAAAGTTTGCACGTTATGGAGGGTTTAAATAGATATCGTTGCGCATCACTGTCGGACTATCTATATCGTATAATACATTGAACGAGCGGTAATACGTATAAGATACATTTGCCTAGTGTGCGTATATAATATATGTGCAGAGTAATCCCAACGATGTTGTAGAGGCGAGCCTCAAACTCCGTGAACGATTTATACAAGTTGCATGCAAAATACAAAACTCTCTCACGGTGTACCAAGGATTTTTTTTCCTCCCTTGGCTTTAAATTCTGTGCACTAGTAGGGTTTTTTTTTTTTTTTTTTTTTTTTTTCGTTGTATATCCGTTCGGAAATTGTCTTTGAAGTAAAATCTAGATTTAAAAATTTTCAACACTCAGTGTTTTATTTGAAAAGACATTTTATCTTTTAAATACAAAGTTTCATTCGCTTAATTTGGCTAACGAGATATTATTCAAATCTCGATGCACTTAATGATCCTTTGTGGACAAA